GTCTATGTGACCTCTCAAGAAGTAGTTCCCAGTAGTTTGTTGTGGAAGCACACCCGAAAACGTTTACTGCTACATATAATACCACAGTACATCACTCATTTTGAATGGTACCACAATGCATCACCCAGCATGGACAAAGCACAGTTTTGATTTAGGAATAGCAAAAAGAAAGAAAGAGATAAGTCAGTTGCTGATAAACCATAAAGAGGAAAGAATTGCTTGCTTAGCCTGGACAGCACCTTGAAGCCGAGGAGAACTTTAGACTCACACAGTTACTGTTTCAAGGCTGGTGCTTGTAGACTTGGCACAAGAGTATGCACAGATTTTTTTCAACTTAATGGCAAGGCTCTGGTGAATGCAATTCCACTGGCGGAGTCCCTATTCTGATCTTGATGTATCGTCTGTATCACCGGGTACCAGGAGCTAGGCATAGAGTTGCCTAGCAACCCAGCATCTCTCTTGCTCAGCCACTTCATCTTTCCTCTGCTGTAGGGCAACCCCAGGCTAAAGCTAGTATATACAACATATACCATATTTAACCCTACGTACAGTAATTACAGAGGCAACTAAACCTCAACTCTACAAAGCATTATCTTTCTGAGTCTTTAGCATGTTACCTGCAAAAGATAAAAAAGGGAACTTTCATTTTTCCTATCTAGCTAACTAAATCAGTCAGTACAAGTAACATAGGTACAGCTGGTTCATGTGGACATGTGTAAGATGAAGTTAGAAAATGAAGACTGATTAGTTAGCGCACAACTAGAGGTGTGTGTGGTGTGTCGTGGCCGTTGTGCGTCTCCTTGTGTTATTAGACCGGGGTGTCTAACTGTGTGATACTGAAGAGCAAACAGGAAAGGGAAGGAGCGCAACTAACTGGAGCAGGCTGCGCCAGTTAGTTACGCTCTTTCCCTTTCCTGTTAGCTGTAAGATGAACCTGATCCACCTGTTGCACCAAGCCATAGTGAAGAAGGCAGTGGCAGAGCCAACAAAGGGTTAAATGGTTGCTCAGTGCTGTAGTGTAGGAAATTACATTCTGGTAACGGTGTCTGTTGATACCTGTAATGATAATATTCAGTACCGGAATTCCTTTTTGCATTTCACATATCTTTATTTATATTTGTCGCCACATTTACATGCGAGCCAAGCTGTCCAGCAACAGTGACAGTTACAGGATTGAGACAAACCATATACCACTGTTGAGGGTGCTTACTACAGTCAGGTTTAATGCAAAGTTTTTATTCCTTTTAAAACCTTTTATTTGTACTATTTAACATTTTATATAATGAACACTGTTGCTGTAACTACTTAAAAGGTATTAGCTGTAGTTGGGTTGTACTTTGTCTCTTGCTTATCCCACTTCCAGCGTGCGTGCGCACAACGGAGGTGAGCCCTCTTCCATGGGGGCCACATACATGCCTACCAGTGTTTCTGCTTAGAGTGCACTTCATTGTACACCCCTAGATAGAGACTAGGCTGTCCTCGACTCAGTCTTGTACTAATGATCAGGACCTGGGAGGACCGGCTCCCGATCACATGATCACAGATATAGCCTGTGGTTGGCTATCACAGTTATCATTAGCTATAGAACCCTCCCCAACTGGTTGGCAGGAGCTCGGCGCGACAGGCCAGAGCGTCCAGCTCATCTCCTGGCAATCAGTAAACTCTTAGCAACCTGGGGCGCTCTGGCTTGAAAGGGCCCCCCATGTGACCCACAGAGATGCCACCTGAGGCAACTGCATTAAAGGGACAGCCCTGGTGACAACACTACTGTGCAATTTCACTGCAGAACAAACAGCGTTGTCACCCGGTTAAAAGAAGTGCAACAATAACAGATCTATTAGCATTACATGATCAACAGGTATTAGACTGTTACTCAGAAAACCAAATGCTGCTGTGTTAGGCCCCATTCACACCTGACCGTTTTGTAGCGCGTCCTACGCTCAATGAACGCTCTAAAAAATAAATAGCATTGTAGTCAATGGTATCGTTCCCACCTGTCCGTATTTCCGCCCGTCCCGAACGCACTACAAAACGGCCCACGCATGAAAAGGTCCCGGAGCGTTTTTTGCTGCGTATTGGTCCGTTTTGTAGGGCGTTTTCCATTTGTATACTGCCAAGTAGCCTTTGGAATCGCGCAACTTTTTAAACGCGAATTGCGGTAAAAAACCGCGTGACGGTCGCGCGACAGACGCGCATATTACAATACGCATAGGTGTGAATGGGGCCTTAATGCCAGTGACAGGCTGCATCTCATATGTCATTTGGCCCGTAGTTCCACTTCAGTGACTCTGCAGTCTTCTTGCCTGGCCAGAAAGAGTTAATCAGATCCTGTCGGGGGACTACACTTCATTAAAACTACAAGGTCTCATTACTGTACGCGCCTTGCCAGCACCGTGCCGCTATTAATTAGACATCTCCCGAGTAGCTCCAAGCAAAGTTAATGATGACCACGATAAATTATTGAACACCCTTTAATATGTGGCACATTGGGACGAGATTAACAATGCGTCAGGACCGGACGGCGAGATATGAAATGAAAGATGGAGGTGGAAGGCGCGTCCCCAGGTCGCTGACACACAAGCTCTCTTTTATTACAATAACAATATTCTCTTTATTAAAATTCACCGGGATCTTCTTATTTACGCGGAAGGGAGCCATTTCCCTCTGAGCTGGAAGTATGCTTCCTTCATTTAGTTCTTCATCTTTTCATTTCAGGATGAGTTGGGTTTATTTAGGGTCTGACTACAGACAAAACTTTCTCTTTTAGATTTGAATGGACTTGAGAAGATTAAACACTTTTGTCAGCTTTTTATTGTTATCTGTGACTTCCCAGAGAGATTTAACCTAACTTCCTGTTGCTTATGACAGGAGGAAGAGAAATGAGGGAGAGGTTGTCACTGGGACAGGAAGACACAGACAATAGTAATCATCTACAGGTTATAATAATTATATTAATTATAATTATACATATGACAGAGTAATATAGTAATAGGCAATATATAATAGCCCTTCTCTATTTTACTAAAAAGAGCGTTTTGTTGCAATCTGTGTCACCACTGACAGGAGAGGGGGAAATCTACCCAATGGGGACAAAGACAACAAATAAAACCTTGAAAGAGGTTCTGTCCTGCCCGCAAAAAAAAAAAAATAGTTTTAGGAACTTATGCT